ATATGCTACTAATAGAGATATGTAAACTGAGAACAGACTTATCAAGGTGGAGTGAACCAAGTGAGTATTGGTCACCAAATCCAGGAGGAGAATAACGTACTGAAGAGGAGCACTTGTAGCCAAGGTGTTTATTGCTCAACTGCTAGGCCTGGAGTCTAAATACTCACGAGATGTTCCATACAATGTATCAATATCATTATGCAAATAACTAAACTAAACGTCATAGCCTCAAATCATTACAAGCAAACATTAGATAATAACTGCCGAATTCGATAAATATATTAGTGGTAGTTGCATTTAGATAACCATAGTTCTTTTAAATGTGGAATATAACTTGGACATTTAGAACAATGGCCATTCTGAAAGGCTTGAATAATAGGACATGCATGGTATTTTAATGAATATTTATTCTTGACCTTGATGAACTGGTAGAATTACATAAGACAACAAACATTACCCTAGATCTGTATCATTCCTGGTACAGTATCTTAAAGTAAAGTATGTGCTGAATGACTTTCTTGATGTTTCATGTAAAAAAAAAAAAATGGAAATTGCATCACCCCATTGTTTTTTTAAAAAAATTTGGACCGAAAAGATTTGTTTTTTTCCCATTTCTTTTCCGTGTTGATCAGAAGAGAGTGCATTCTCTTTTATCTGAAAATGTTTTCCGAATAATGACAATTTGTTTTTTTTAAAGATGATGTCTGAAGCAGCCATCACTAACAGGCCTCCAGGGTTTTCAACCAAGGAAAGAAGAGAGAGGGTAAGAATGTATATGTGGATATTTCATTATTTTAACATCAGTTTGGCCGGCTTGCATGATTTTCATTTCATGTGAAACTTAACATTTTTTTTCTTTAATTGTTGCAGATTCTTTATCAGCAATCTATCATGGATTTAATGCATGAATACACGCAGATATGCGTCAGGAGAAATTCGGTAAGTTGTTAGTCCCTGTTCGGACGAAGTCTGAAAACGAGGACTATTAATTAGGGTTCGTTCTGTCCGTCTGTCCGTCCGTCCGTCTGTATGTATGTCCGAAGCTATATCTCGGACACCCATTGAAGGATTTCATTCAAACTTTATATGAAGACAATGCATAATGTCTTACATTTGCACATCAAGTTACTTTATGATCGGAGCGAAAATGGCCAACTGGCGGCCATTTTGGTTGTAAAATTTGCTATTTCTGATACCTAAACATGTCCGCATCAGTTTCTCGGAGATGACTGAGCCGATTTGGATCAAAGTTAGTATGATGATCATACATATTTGGTTATAGGTGCACACCATATTTTTTCCATGATTCAAACAGATATGGCCGACTGATGGCCATTTTGTTTTTCAGGATACCCATGTCTACTTTCCCATGAATGCAATGAACATTTCTGTTCCACTTAAATTTTGTACAAAGACAGTATACCAATAGATACATCAACATGAAAATTATTTTTGTAATTTGATTCAATATGACCGCTCAATGTCCAATTCTCGTGTAAAAACACTAAATCATAATTTTTCACAAATCCATCTCCTATTAATGGTTTCAATATAATCTCAATGACTTCATCATCATCAAATTGATATGTCAGATCACAAAATTTTGGACGGGGACTGTGTCATTAACAATGACTTGTTTAATGAGTTTTGTGATGAGGGAATTGTGAAATCAGTACATGTAATGGTGTAGCTCTAATGGCATTTGTTACTAAGTTTCAATTTGTTTGTTTTCGCTTCTAAGCATCGGGTGAAATGTGGTAATTACTCTATATTATCACATAGTACCAGATAAAAAATAATCATTAGATTTTTCTTTCGAGAAATCTTGGGGTGATTTCGCCTTGTGCTGAAAAGGACAAATGAAAGTTTGCCTCTGGTGATTATATTAACATTTATTGTACAATGTATTTCAATAAACAAATTTACCAAATATGGTATGTACATGAAATCAAAAATCAAACATTAAAATAACTATTCAAACAAACAAGGTCCATGTAAGTACCGGTACTGCGTATCGTATCTGAAGGCGTTCATTTTGAATGACATCACAACATAAGTTCACATGAGCTACAAATGTACATGTAATTATCATAATTTAAGGTAGCGAGAAGGGAAATTTTCACTTTTTTCTTGATTTTTCAAAAATTGATAAAACGGTTACTTTAGACCTTGATACATCACCCCAGGTTTACAAAAGATCGAAATTGCGAAATAACGTTGCTCAAATTAGTGTTTTAAAACACTAGCAGAAAAGACTACAACTGCCGTTTCGTGGATATTTGCATAGTGTTTATCTTTGGAAGGAATTAAATGATAAAATCTTATCTGTATACTCTGTTGTTGACGATTCTGATATAACGGGTGATAAGCTTCCAGTTGCAAACAACGCGTGTTTATCTAACGTCCATTGTCAGCATTATTGTCAGTCGAGACTTCGTCGGAGAAACATGGTCATACAGTACTCATTTCGCCCAACCCTACCGCTTTTACATCGACCGCTTATCGCTTAATTCCGACCACGCGG